TTTTGAAAAATGGAAACGGGAATGACTCTTCCCGCTATCGCGGCGTCTCTGAGCTCTCTCTCTCTCTCTCTCTCTCTGTCTCTCTCTCTCTCTCTCTCTCTCTCTCTCTCCTGCGCCACTTCAATTTTTTTTCCGTTTGTTTTTGTTCTTTTTTAATTTTTGTGTGTTTGATTTTTTTTCCCCTTTCTTTCTTGGTTTCCTCTGTAGTGTCGTCCCTACAGAACCGGGGCCCGGCCTTCAGGCAGCGACCGGGCCTTCCCTTGGCCGACCCCCGAAGCTGTTGGCGCGTTAACGGGAAAGGCCTGCGGCCGATAGCTGGGCCAAGTACTGGTGGTTTAAAGACTCAGCATTTTGCCAGCACCTGCACCTCACATCTGTTTCTCCCACCCCCATTGAGTAAAAGCAGTGTCTATGGCCAGCACTCACACGCGCACACCACACACAATGCGCTCCCCCCCAACTCACACACCAGTGATGGCTACAGATCCTACAAATACCAACCAGGGGAGCAGGCCAACTATCTCAGTTGGTTGGCACTAAGCGTGCCCAGACGGTCACTAGGTACTGAACCCACGACATCCAGAATGACACTTGCGTGCCTGACCAATTGGGCTGGTAGGCCGCTTGCTCCTCATCCGAGAGCAAAAGCGACCTCAACGCGGAATTGCGGGGTTTTGGGAAAAAAAAAAAAAGATTGGCGGGGTGCTGATCGCCGAAAATAGAATCGGCGCCTTGTGGCCGTTACAGCTTTTTGGTTATGATCTCGGGACAGACGAGGGAGCATAACTTAGCGGGTCCAGGGGGGAACACTGCTGTCAGCGGCTATGCTTGCTGAGGGAGCATGCCAGGGGATATGGAGGAAGATGTATCAGGTCAGAGATCCGATCCCGAACTGATGTGCTAGAGGACCATTTTCTTGCCTGAGTTTGTACCGGGGTTTGGAGGAAGATGGGCTAGAGCGCTGTTTTTGCGCCCGAGTTTGTACCTGGGTTTGGAGGAAGATGTAACAGATCGCGATGGCATCATATTCGCGGTTCATCGAGTGGGATATCGGTGCTGAGGAAAAGGCTTACCCCTAACGTAAGGACCGACGCTAATTTTGGCGGGGTTGTGATTGCGGGGTAAGCGTAAGGTAGTCATTTTCATTTCAGTCGCGGGCGCCGTAAAGGCGAGCCGGCGGAGTGGTAAGAAATGAAGGAGGCGGGAAGGTAAGACGAGCACTCTCTAAAAAGTCGTGAAAAACAAAAAAGAGGCGGGAAGGTAAACTTGACCACCAATGGTCGAATGGTGGTCGCGCGCCTATCGGTAGCTTCCTTTTTCGGCATCTGCTAAAATGCGGAATTCAAAGAGACTGTGATTGGCTCTAGCAGCGCGCAGTTGACTGACGTGGAAGGGGTGAAAAGCGCATGGCCATGTGCATATGTGATCTGGTCTGCCCGATATTGAGCGACTCGACGTGAGAGACACGGATAGCAATGCGTCCGAAGGATATCCGCAGGCGAATGGAGTATTTTGCCAACTCAGAGCAGAGCATGCTCACACTAGCACTTTCCTACACGTACCTGACTGCAATTACGGCCAGACGCGGATGAATCTGACCGCAATCACGTGCAGAGCTTGACAGAAGAAGTCGTAATGTGAGTATGCCAGAGCAGAGCATCGTCACACTAGCACTTTCCTAGACGTATCAGACTGCAATCACGGCCAGACACGGATGAATCTGACCGCAATCACGTCCAGAGAGTGACAGAAAAAAAGTCGTAATGTGAGTATGCCCTGAGTAAGATAGGGGATACTTCTGGTAATGCGTGAACGTGAAGAGAATATGGTAGTCATGTGATAGCAGCCGCCAATCAATTTGACGGTTTTTTTTTGGCAGAAAACCGTCGATTAGACTACCGTAGGCATCGGGATTGCCGATCTGGGTTGGAGATTGTCATGGCGGGGTTTCTTTTTTCAGTAGCGGGCATTCGTGTAGTGACCATTCCGTCTGACTCATGGGAGATCGAACTGATGACCTGTTAATTAACTGTTACATGCATACATGCCATTCGGCCACATGGGCTGGGTTCGGTGAACCCTCCCCGAACCCTCCCCGAACCCTCCCCGATTATCAACTGACAGTGACGTCAGCAGCGGTCCGGAGGGGGGAGATCGGACGTCGAGATTAACCCGTCCTGATTGACCAATGAGGTTGAGCATCGAGAGCGGGACTTCGTTAAAAAATTGGCGCCAGCAGCTGGGCCTCTGTTGTCGCTCGGTATGGCGGCGGACCGTACCCTCCCACCTATTTCTCTGTTAGGAATAATACTGTAAATCAGGCCGTTAGGACTGAATTCCTGACGACGTTCACGGCGTGAGTATTCAATTTATTGTTCGCAGAGTCACAGCAGTAATACCGGGCCCGTCAAGTTGGACGGTCGGATGTCGAGAGGGGTTACTGGAAAGATCGCCTATCAACTCTGAATCCCACACAGGCTCTGAGAGGGGTTACTGGAAAGATGATCATATAGCGCTCGAATAGCAGACAGGCAGTATTGATGGGGATTCTTAATGGTTCCATCGAACCAGGTACTACCGTAGGTGGATGCCAACGCGTTGTAGTTGGTGAAAGACGGAACTGACAGCGGACTACCAGACGATGGTCCACGCGAAGAGGGGGACACTTCCTCCCGCAGAACGAGCGATTGCCAACGAAGTGTTCACACTCGGTCCACGCGAAGAGGGGGACACTTCTCAATGGTCAACGGTAGTGGGCGCACAGTTGGATAATTGCGGCAGATGGGAACACGCCAGATGAGGGGATTATCGTGAACACGCCTCAATACAGGTGATAGTATTTGCGTTCACACTCGGTCGAGACAGTCCTGTGACCTTCGCTTGCTCTCTAGGCGCTTGCGCAACGGTGTTCTGCTCTGTGGGATGGGCGGTCAGGACGGAACTTGATAGATTGATTGATGATCGTTCTGGAACTTCCGTGTCGACGGAGGTGATCAACGATAAGTGCTGATGAGCTTCCCAAGATTACAAGGAACTCATTCGGCTCGCTTCTGGCTGTCGAATACGCGATCTTACTGCCGGGACCACGACGGTTCCGCCCGCTAAAACTCCCCCCCCCCCCCCCCCCCCCCCCCCCCCCTCTCTCTCTCTCTCTCTCTCTCTCTCTGTGTATGTGTGTAATTTTCACTGGTTCGGAGCAAGCACTTAAAAACCATTGTGTGTGTGTGGGTGTGAGTGTGCATGTGTGGGGGGGGGGGATCTCTACTCTGATTACTTTGTTTTGGGAGGGCGCTTTGACAGAAATGAACTGCAACAACTGTTCGGTGGCAGTCTGTCAAATTGGGCGTCACCACTTTTCAGGGCATTGAATCTGTGTGTGTGCGTTGTACGTGCTCTCTCTCACATTCACGCACGTACACACGCACGCGCACGAACACACATATACAGACAAGAACAACACACACGTACAAACAAGATGTACACGCCCGCCCGCCCGCCCGCCCGCCCGCCCGCCGGTGAACATGCACGTACAGAGAAAG